AACCTGGATTTGTAGGAATGGAAGAGAAGTTATGAATACTGACAAATTGTGAAGGAAAGAGGGGTAAAAGTGGGCAGATACTGTGAAGATAGACTTCTTTGGGGGATTCAGGTTGCTAAGTGGGAAAATTCAAGGGAAAAACCATCTTTGATCACAAATCTAACCCTGTCTTTCCCAACCTGTGGACACTCTCCCATTCAGCAGTCCTTGGTCTGGAGGTGGCCCCTCACCTGACCATGCTGACGGCATGATTGATGAACTTCCAGCCTCCAGAGCTTACATAAGAAATGTTTGTTGTCACTAAGCCACCAGTCTATGTATTTGGTATAGCAGCCCAAATGGACTAAAACATCCCTCAACTCAGGACAGTCAAGGATTATATGAGAATACCTCTTGGGTGGTTTGGTGGGTTTTCCTCCTCTTCCTCTCCCTCTTTCACCACCACCACTGCCTTACCTCCTTTGCTGAAGAGAATAGGAGGTACATGCAGGCTGGGCTGGCCACATGTCTCCTGCTCATCTTCAGGGCCTGTGGGCTTGCTGGGAAGCTAATATTTATAATAAGCACAGCTTAGGAACAAATGGTGTTGTTTTCATTGCTATCTATCAATCTTTTTACACATCCAGTTATTTATAGCGTTCACATGCTTTGCAACCCTTCTCAGAAAATTAGCCTACTATGTGTCCTATTTCATTGTCACCACACATCTCTCATAACCATCCTTGGGCCCAAAAGATTGTTTGAGAAGCTTTTGTGGAGGAGGCAAGATTTGAAATCTCAGGGAGTCCATCGATATAAAAGACATAATCATCATCCTCCATACCTAGAATTTGGTTGAAGAGAAAAAAGTAAAGGAGCCAAGACAAGTAGAAAAAATGATAGCACAAAGTCTAACAAAAGAAATATCACATGATGGGCCTCCCCAGTGGTGCAGCAAGTTTAGCGCAGTGCTGTGAGGCTGTCTGCAGGCTCCACAGAGCGGGTTTGATTCCCAGCCGGCCAGGGAGATTCCCACATGGCGCAGCAGATCTCTCCTGTCTCGCCCTCTGCTCCCCTCAGCAGTGTATTTCAGTACATCTGTCTGTTCTGTTCCCTGCTCTGTCTCTGGTGAATCCTCTCACCCTCCCGCATATCTGACCTATACTCCAGTTCTTGTGTAAAAATAAATATCTTTAAAAAAAAAAAAAAAAGAAATGTCACATGAGAAAGCAAAGACGGTAAGATAATGCACTTGGTTAGGAAGAGGAGGAGAGGACTCTAAGCAATCAGACAGATGAAGGATTTAGCAAGACTCAAGCAGGTGAGATACACAGTGATTTGAGAGGTTTGCAAAAGCATACCCAGAAGCATGGAGGGGAGAAATCCAATGTGTTGGAAGCATCTAGTAAAGAAAAGAAGTTTGTTTTGCTGGAACTGTCTTTTTTTTTTTTTTTTAATAGAGGCATTTTTTTTTTATTTTATTTGTTTGTTTGTTTGTTTTTGTTTATACATGCACTGGGTACAGTCAGAAGCACGGGAGGGTGAGAGAATTCACCAGAGCCAGAGCGGGGAGCAGAGCAGGCAGAAGGACCGAAGCACACTGCTGAGGGGAGCAGCGGGCGGCAGGAGAGGTCTGCGCACCATGTGGGACCCTCCTCCGGTGGCTGGGGAGCAGCCGGGGATCGAACCGGCGCCGCAGAGGCCGCGGGCAGCTTCGCAACCCAGCGCTCAACCGCTGCGCCACCGGGGAGGCCCGCTGGAACTGTCTTAACCTGGCTTTTCACCAGAAAGCCAAGCCTGAGACAAGGGATTGCATGGAACCTGTTGAGAAGTGACGCCGGGAACAGAATAGGGAGAGACTGAAGCAAGGAAATGAGGGACACCTGTGCAAGCTAAGCATGACTGTGGATGACTGATACTCAGTCCTGCTGGGATCCTAAACCACTCTGTAGAAAGCATCTCAGAGTTGTTGGCCTGAGTGATCAAACACAGCACCAATTCCCCCACGGCTCCCATCCCCCATTGGTTCCCACAGAGCAGCTCCTCCTTCCTTCCAGTTTTGCATAGATGAGTGCTAAGCAATGCTAAGCAAGTGTCCTTCCCCAAGGTGTCCTAGGAGCCCCAGAGCGTGGAGAGAGAGATGTTTGGTGCAGCTGACATGCTTTCAGGTTACACCTCTCAAAGCTAGTTGCCCAGCAATGACTGGAGGAAAAGGCAGACTAACAGGATATACAGTGGGGCTTCAGGATTATTTCAAGCAATCATGGACAGTGAAGCAGCAGGAAATCATGCCTAGATGAGTAATTTGAATTTATTAGCAGTGGTAGAATGTAGGAATCAAGAGAAATAAAGTTAGAGATATGAGATTAGTGCAATTTTGTCACTGATTAAAAGGATCTGTAGACAAAGGTGGAATATGCAGAAAGAGGAATTAAATCAAATATTAAAGTCTTAGAGAAAGGGAAAGAGACTGAGATGAATTCACTTTTGATAGGAGCAAGGAAGAAGACAGGACACCATGTTAGAAAGGCAGATGTGTTAGGTGGCCCAAGACTGCCTGGACATATTGGGGGCAGCAGGACTGCCTGGGGTGGAAATCTCAAACACAGATTCTCTCTTCCTACTCCACACTTAGACTTGACTTGTTCCTCCATCTTTTTTTTTTTTTTTTTTTTTTTAGCTTTTCTTTTCTTTCTTTCTTTCTTTTTTTTTTCAAGATTTATTTATTTATTTATATAAGCACTGGATACAGTCAGAAGTGCAGGAGGTTGAGAGAATTCACCAGAGCCAGAGCAGAGAGCAGAACAGGCAGACTGACGAAGTACACTGCTGAGGGGAGCAGCGGGCAGCAGGAGAGGTCTGTGCGCCATGTGGAACACTCACCCGGTGGCCGGGGATCAAACCGGCGCTGCAGAGGCTTCGGGCGGATTTGCAACCCAGCACTCAACCGCTGCGCCACCGGGGAAACCCTCTTCCTCCATCGTTAACCAGGTTTCTACCTTGGAAAATTAGTCATAACTGTGGTGGCTCTGCCTCCCTTGTTGAAAGTCAGTATGATTTGAAATAGAATGATTACAAAATAGAGTTGGAGCCGCTGTGGTGGAAAAACTACATATTGTGTGTTTGAACTGGGCCAAAATACCCTGGAGGTGAGCCAAGCAGCATTGTTTCATGAACCCTTGAGAGCCCAACAGCGTAGTGGACATTTTAATCACAAAAACTGGTGATTATGAACTTTTGCCAGAGGGCAAATCAGTAACTGAAAGAGTGCGAAGGTGGGGCTCAGGCCATGGTGACTCCATCGAACACCAACAATCGCAAGGTACGACTCAATCTCAGGGCACAACAGCAGCAAGGTTTATTTACAAAGGGAAACTTGGGCTAAGGAAAGAGTGCCTAGGTCACAAATGGCCAGCTGTCCTACCCCAGATAGTGTCCACAGTGCCCAGTAATCCAGACCAAAAGCTGTTCATGCAAGATAGTGTTTTCCCTATGTACAAGCCTGCAACTGCTCACCGGTAAGTGGTGGCCCAGGATCCACTGTGGCAGCTGGGGGTCATCACAGGGGGCACTACCAGGACCACAACACAGCAGCCTCTCTGCTGAAGCCAAAGCCTGTCTCCTCCTGAAGCCAAAGCCAAGTATCCTGAAGCTTTTTTCAAGCTGAGTTAAACCTTCTCAAACTTGGGCCTCCCCGGTGGCGCAGCACTTGAGCGCTGGGCTGCGAAGCTGCCCGCAGCCTCTGCAGCGCCTGTTCAATCCCCGGCTGCTGGGCAAGGGTCCCACATGGTGCGCAGACCTCTCCTGCCGCCCACTGCTCCCCTCAGCAGTGTACATCGTCAGTCTGCCTGATCTGCTCTCCGCTCTGGCCCTGGTGAATTCTCTCACCTTCCCACGCTTCTGACTGTACCCAGTGCTTGTATAAATAAATAAATAAATAAATCTTAAAAAAAAAAAAAAGAAAAGAAAAAACAAACTTCTCAAACTAAATCAAGCCTCTCCCAAGATGGCTCCGAGTCTTCCCAAGAAGCTCCTCTCCCAGCAGCTTCTCTCCAACACCAACCTTCAGCCTCTCCTAAGTATCTACTTATATATCCCCTTCAGGATACCTGCCTTGCTAACCTGATTGGTCCATTTTCCAAACCAGTTTTTTCCAAGACTTAATTAGTGCCAGCGCAACCTTGAATCTAATTGGTGTCAGTGGGAGCTTGGACTTGTTTAATCTGTTTTCAAAACCAGCTTGAGGTTCAAAACCAAAACCCTGGTAGTGCATCCAATTCACCCTGCAGCTTTTGATGCAGGAGCCAGCAGGTAAGCTCTGCTGTATCAGAATAATACTAGCCAGGTTCAAGCCTGAACCGCAAGTCTCCAAAACTGTCAGTTTTTTTCTTTTTTACCCTAAAACCCAAACCTGGCTGCACTGGGGGTAGCCACCAAACCCACTGCTATGGCATACATAGCCCAGGCTGATACCACTCAGCTGGGGGCTGCTGTTACATAGCCAATTATATATAGTCAAAAATAGTTAATACTTTAAACACTGATGAACCCTTTTCTTTAACAATTTATCTCATCTTCCCCTTTTCTTCCCATAAAAAAATCTCCTTTGCTGTCAGGGGCCATTCCCATAAATAGGATGGTCTATTCCCATCCTAGCTCTACAGGAGAGCTCTACACGAGTTCTACACGAGAGCTAGGATGGACACACCTGAGTGGAGAAATCTTACAATGTCATAATATTAACAAAGATGTAAAACAATGATACTTCATTAATAAAAAAAAAATAAAAATATTTTTTCCCTTCTCAAGGCATATTTTAGGTTTTTCCCTAAAACTGCATTCTCAGAATTGCAGTTCATGAATCCCAAATAAACACTGAATTTCTTCTCATTTTGACTTTTTGCTTTTAAGAAAGGCAACGTCCACTTCAGAAGCACTCTGAGAGCCTGGAATGGAGGAAACAGGGGCAAGATTCTGTGCCTGGAGAGAGATGCCTCCAGCCCCACACTGAGCTTCTCCCATCATATGATCCCAAAGTCAGTGGTATATACTTTCCCCGGTTCTTGGGTGATAATGAGTGGAGATCCTCCTTCAGTGCAGGTGGCAATGAACCAGCCTGAGTAGGCCACAGACTCAAGGCTGGAGGTCCTTCCATTCCCACTGTGGTGAAGAGGAAGGCTCCCTGGGTCTGAGTTTGGTGGTACAGTCCATTTTGCTCTTTTCCTGAAGGGGAGAAAGAGGCCGCAGGGAGAAACAGAACAGCTTCAGTTGTTCTATAGTCTTCACACACTGCTAGTTCCTGTCTGTGCTAGCCTTCCCCAATCATTCAGACAGGCCCAGAGACCTCTATTTCATGCTATGAGATTCAAAATGACAGGCCCCAAATATTTGATATATGTTAAATTTGATGTTGCTATCTTAGGCCAGGAATGTCAATCGTTCTTAATGTGAAGATTTGAAAGAAAAAATTGCTAACATTAAAGCTTTTGTGCTTTGAATACAAAGCACTGATTTACTCATAATCTGTAGCTTCAAAGGGGAGAAACCCAAAGAAGTGTGCATGGTCATTACCGAGTTCTGAATTAAAAGTTTTTTAATGCCAAGTCTCTCTATTTCAGCACAGCAGTTATGCCTGACTCAACGATGGGGTGAATTCTAAGAAATGCATCCTTGGGGATGTCACCCTTATGTGAACACCACACAGTGTGATTACACAGACTTGGTGGTGCAGGTAACTACACACCTAGGTTACACGCGTAGCCTGCTGGCACCACCACCTAATATGTGGTCTATTGTCAACTGAACTATCACTAAGTGACAAATGGTGGCACTGATACTCTGGGAGCCCTAATTCTTTGTCCTCAGGGGCTCTTCTGTGTACAGGGGAGGGTTACCAGCATCCTTGACCTCTACTCCCCAGATGTTAGTAGCACACCCTGGACCCAGCTGTGACAACCAAAAATATCTCAAGACATTGACAAGGATCATGGGTCAAAATGGTCTCTGCTTGAAAACCACCGTACTACACCTTTCACTTTATTGGGGATCTGCCTACATTTGTTGGCTGAAAAGGGTCAAGAGATTTTCAACCATACAGTGGTCTGATTTGTGACCTTTATAACTTAGAGGACTTTTTAATAACAGAGAGTCATAATCATTAAAATATTTGATGCAGAGAATTTGGTTGCTCCCTTAAAATTGCAAACTATATTTTGTCAGAGCATACGCTTCCAGAACTCAACCCACTCACTCCCCTTCTTGGACACCAACTACCTACTAGCAGAAATCCTTGTGCTTATGACTCTCTTTGAGGTCTAGGTGCAGAGCTCTAAGACAGGAGTTCTAAGATTGGTGGCCCAGAGGTCAGAGAAAGTCAAAAGTCTGCAGACTGCAGCTCTGGGCTGCACCTGTCACCTGCTTACAGAGGACCCCATGTCTCTGTCATTATGGAATAAAGCTTGCTCCAGCCTCAGGTGTCTGACCCACTCTACTAGGACCTAACCATTTATCCACATGAGCGAGGAAAGAGGTTCTGCCTCTCTGAGGCCAGGGCTGCCCAACACCATGGATATTCACTAGTTCCTGGTGCCAGATGATTCAGTAAGGCTTATGAAGAAATGTCAAGCATAGAAAAGGTGTGACTTGCCTATGTGCCCAGAAAAAAGGAGTAGCTGAAACTGCTGAAATTTTAAGAGTAGCTACAGGAAGTAAAGTCATCAACACTGTGTTTGAGGAAAGAAGTCTCCTAGGACTTTCTCAGAGCCAATGACTGGATTCTGATGACACAAAATGACACACAGAAATATTACTTCAAGGAGTGGAAACTCCAGTAGTATAAGACCTATGTATCTTCTAACAGCTCCCGGTCCACAGTCATCTTATTCTCTGTCCATCTGAGACCAGGAAAGACTCCCCAGAGTATGCTCCTCTAGCTTCCCAGGGCTGGCATGCAGGTGCTTCTTCACTTGAAGGAGCTTCCCCTGAGCAACAGCAGCCACTAGGTATCCTGCCCTTCATGTACTCTAGATCACTGGCCCGGATTAGTGGGGAAGGGCCCTGGCTCCCAGATGCTCTAGCATCCTGAATTAGCAGAAATGCATTAGATCTTTCACGAGGGAAGCTGAGACTGCCATCACAAGGATTTTTACTTTGAATACTCACAGTTTGAGTGAGCCAGAGCCTCTATGCTATTTGGTTCGATATAAGTCAAATACTTTCCAAAGTATTTGAAGCAAATACTTTTGAAGCAAAGGGAACACCTCTCCAGAGGAGCACAGAGACACTCAAATAATCTTCCAGAGGCAACAAGTCACAAGTAGTTGAAGATGACCAGACATACAAGTAAGCAAGATCACAAGAATAAGAACCAATAAAAGAAACAAAACAAAAAGGCAAGATAGCAGAAACATACACACACAGGCAGATTTTGTAATTATTGTACACAGAGCTGAAAGTAACTATCCTAACCAGGTTTAGAAAACATGACAGCATGAAAATATTTTTCTAGAACAGCAAACTAAGAAAATTGGCAGATTTGAAAGAGCCAAAAAGACTGTCCAGAACTGTATTGTACAATAAAAAAAAGTCAATATTTGTATTCAACAATAGACATCGCATAGCAGTAGAGAAAATTAGAGAATGACATCAGCATGATGGCAGTACAGGAATTTCAGCACTCTTCCCTTCCCAGAAACACCAGTATGGACAATCACCCATGTATGAAAATAGCTTCAGAAAAGCTAAGGACTCCAGGTAGGGATTACAGGACCTGGGTGGAGTACAGAAACAAGAAAAGATGCATTGAAGAAGGTAGGAAAGAGTTTCACTTTGCCCCTGTCACCCTTCCCTCAAGTCAGGGCAGTCCTGCATGGAGAAAGGCATCCAACTCATAGGAGGAATGGAGTAAAGTAGGAGGTGACTTCACCATGGACGGCACCCCCAGCCTGCCTCATCCCCAGACTCATGCTGCCCCAGATTCCCAGTGGGCTCCCACAGACTCAGGATACCATCCCACCCCTGCACCCAGCAGGTCCCAACTAACCCAGGCTCCCGGCAGGCTCATGATAATCCAGACTCCAAGCTTCCCAGGCCCCAGGCTGACTCCCATGGTCCCAGGCTGCCAACCTCTCCCGGCACCACTCCATTCTCCATGGACCTAGACTCCACATGGCCTCCCATGGGCCCAGGCTCTTCCTGCCCCAGCAAGCACCAGGCTGGGTCCAGGAGCTCAGGCTCCATGTAGACGCTACTCTGGGAGTCGTGGATGCCAGCCTTCAGGAGATTGCTTTTACACACGAAGGCAGGGGGGAATATGCCTGAATAACTGTGGGCCCTGGGTGACCCGTGTGGGATCCTCTTAGCATTCCTTGGCTTAACTGAAAACCATTGATTGAACACACAAGCACCCCACTCTGAGAAGTATGATTACCAAATGATCAAACATCCCAGGAATGAGAGTGATGGTCATGTCACCAGAAAGCCACTACAAAGACCTGCCAGGTGGTAGCTGAGGATGAGGGGCCTTTAGAGAATAGAGAGTAAAGAAGGACTGGGTACTTGTCACAGCCCTGGGATCAACTGGAGAAATGAGGGCCGAGTCTATGCATCAGTGTGCTTCCTCTAAATCTCCCCTTAGGAGAAAATCCACGGGAACTAGAGGGGACTACTCCCAAAAGTGTGTGGAAGAGGGGATCCATGCAGCACAGGGGTGCAGCGTGGCGGCTGGGGAGGTGTGCCTCTCAGATATCCCATTAAAGAACTGTAACTAGGAGAATAGCTGGCCACCAGCCTCTGGCCGCCATGGCTTTGGATACTGGTGAAGGTTTTCTCAGCTTCCCGCTGCACTGGAGTCTCCCCACCACTCCTCTCTTCCTCTTTCTGTCACTGGTGGCGTACCTGTGAGTGATGGCTGGCAGGCTCTGCCCCACTGCGCCTGGCCCTTTCGCCCACGTCTTTCATAGGCGTAGGGAATCTTCAGTTTCACCTCACCCCCGCCAAAGCAACCTCTATTTCTATCCTCGTAGATTCATTTTCCTTATTTTTAAACTTATTAATAAATGAAATCACATCATATGAACCTACTTGGATCTGGCATCCTCAATAATTTGTTTTTTAAGATTCTTCTACTTGAATGTCTATTTGTAGTTCATTGCTAAGTAGTATTCCTTTGCTTGAACATACCACATCTTGTTTATCCATTCATTGACTGATGGAAATTTGGCTTCTTCCCCACTTGGGATATTATGACATTTTATTTGAGAGTCTGAACATTTTCATATAAGTCATTTTCTTCAATTCACTTTTAAATCACTCAAGTGAGAACAGTCTTAAAGAGGTAAATGTTCGGGCCTCCCCTGCTGGCGCAGTGGTTGAGTGCTGGGCTGCGAAGCTGCCCGCAGCCTCTGCAGCACCGGTTCAATCCCCGGTCACTGGCGAGGGTCCCATATGGCACGCAGACCTCTCCTGACGCCCCTGCTGCTCCCCTTAGCAGTGTATTTCATCTGTCTGCCTGTTCTGTTCCCACCCTGGCTCTGGTGAATTCTCTCACCCTCCTGCGTTTCTGACTCTACCCCGTGCTTGTATAAATAAATAAATAAATCTTTAAAAATAAGTAAATAAATAAATAAATATAGGTAAATGTCAACAAAATCAGCAACAAGTACAAATTTTTATATGTCTTTTTATTTCCATAGAAGCCCATAAGTCAGCCCAAGCATGATGAATCTGAATCTTTCTCCATGCACACTTGCACTGGGGTAGTCCAGAGGAGTATTTCCCAAGCTTGGTTAGTCATCAGCATTCCCTGTGGTTCATAATAAGATACTGATTCTTTGTCTCTGCTCTATATCTAGTAAGGTGGAATGGGATTTCATTTACCAAGTGAGAGAGCCTAGACACTGGGGTTTTAGTTCATGTCCTGGGTGATTCTGATGTTGCTTCAAGTTTGAGAAACACAGGTGCACATTACATCTCAGCATTTATGTTAGTACATAAAATGTTTAGGTAGCCAGCAGGGCTTCACCCTGGGTGGGCCATCATCTGACATCCTACCAGATAAGAACAGCATCAGTGATGGGAGTGAGATAGCTCCTACTTTGCTCTGCTGCCTTGCTGGGCAATTGTTGCCGATTTCTCACCCACTGTTTCATAACATACAGCTCCAGAAGACAGAAATGGAAACGCTCAAAACCAAGAGTGTCATTATTTCCAGTTCTACTACTAAATGTTCATACCACCCTAGTCAAGTAACAACCACTCCATGTGCCTTCCTGTCCTCACCCCTAAAATGAAAGGGCTGAAGGATATGATGATTTTATGGGAAATGATCCAAATTATGAAAAAAAAAAAAGGCCAAGAGATTGGCATGTGTCACCAATGTCAAGCCAGAACATTGTACAGCAGGACCACCCAGGGGTCAGCCTGCTCAAAACACAATTTTGACTTACCACTTTCAATTAACTTGTAGAAAAAAGATAAAGAACTCATTGGCTTTTCCAGAAGAAATGAAAATGACATCTGTCTAGCAGATACATTAATGTCTTAAGTTGGAGAATTCAAGAAATAAAAGTTAAAGCATATACCTAGACATGGGCAGGGCGGTGGTGGAGAACAGCAGAAAAAGAGCTGAAAAAGAGCTAAAAAAGAGCAATTGGCCTGATGAAAATAGGACTTGGGCAGGAGAATATTGCTTTTAACCACTGACATGTATTATATTGGTATGACCTTCTCTTAAATAACTTTTTGAAGTCTAAATGAAAAATGAATGCTTTATTGACATGAAGATTTATCCTCTATAGTCATCACTCTCAGGGCCTCAGGGGCAGCATGTTCAGTCCCCATGTCCAGCTGTTGGAGAATTACAGGAGAGTGGCTTCAGATCCAGCTTTGGGAATCAGCCATCGCCCTGTAGCAATCCTGGTGACAGAAGAGACCAGCCCCAAAGCAGCTGGACAAACATCCCACTGACAATGTGCTCTGCATTGGTGATTTGGGGGCAGAGTTCTTAATTTCCACATCCCCAAATCCCAATGGTCCTCTCCCAGTTTACCAAGCCCTTTACAGTGCCCAGTTGCTAAAGATCCAAAGGAAACAAATCCTTTGATGAACGTTGGCCTGGAGATCAGGGTACCCAAAGGCAAGCACATTTGCTCTCACAATGTGAGAAGTCGGTGTGCGCTAGACAATTATCTGAAAATGGGGACATGGCTACTACAGGAACCATCCATGGTTTCACATTCTGTGGTATGTGGTAGTGTTTCTCAAATGGGATGTATAAGATAGATGTCTGCGAAGTCTGTTCTCTGGTTCCCTCAACTCAATGAGATGCCTGTATCTTGGAGTTTCCATTTTGATTATACTCCAAATATATCATCAGAGCCTCTTCTGAAACATAAGGATGACCCTCTTTCCCCTGGGACTGAGCCACATGACACCAGAACTTGTATTTGAGCTTTCCTTTAAGTTCACATCTGTCACAATCTCAGGGGTCCTACAGTCTCCTTTCTCAGTAGAGAACAAAGGTAGAAACACTGGCTGGCCACACAGGCTGTGGCAGGATGGAGCTGCTGTAGCCCAGCCATGAGCAAACAGGTCATCAAATCCTAGTGTCCAGATAAAATAACTGACAATGAAATAGTCTACAAATGTAAATTAACGGATGTTACAATCTGCACCATTCATAAGTAGGGAGTTTTAGTGGTAGTTATCTAATGAGCAATTATTCTATTTGAAATTCAAGAGCTCGTTAGCTTTGTGCTCATGTTTATGATGATATTCATAAAAATGCAACGCGAAAATTAATTCAATTGAAGAAGAATCAGTAGACATTATGTTAAATCAGTGCTCACTGACTGCTCGCTGGTAGCCCAGCAGAGTAAGTGGTCTGTTGATCCAATCCAACAGTAAAAAAAATAATAATAATAATAAGTTACCATTGCTGTTTTGGAGACTTTACTTAAACAAACAGAATTTTCTGCATTTCTAGTATTAGAGTCAAAATAAGAAGTCTATACCAGATTTGAACTACATCTTTCTATAATATACCCACAATCAGTTATTAAATTTCAGCAGAATACATTATCTGAAGTACAAGTGGAGGGTGAGCTAGGCCTTCTGTTCCCTCCAAAATGGCCCATTGGCTGCAGTTTTTAAAGGCAATATGTGGATGGACAGTCTACCTAAAAGGAAAAAAACTAGAGGAAGCAAAGAAGAAGCAAGGCTGTGAGGCTGTAAAGTAAGTAGTGAAATAGTAGTGCCCTCTTACAGCTTACTCTCCCTCCTCTCTGATAGGGTCCTGCTCCCCCACAGCTACACCACACCCCCGGCTCACTAAAAGCTATGGCCTCCTGTAATTACTCTTGCTAATTTCAGCTTACTTTGAGCTTTCTCTTTCACTGTATACCCCTTTTAGATTTATTATTATATAAACACATGAAGTTTACATTTGCTTTTATATATACATATTAGAATTAGAGCCAAAATAATTTAATTATTATGAACAACTGTTTAACTTTAAAAGGTCCTATCACTGTGGAAAGCCATGTGGAATTTCCTCAAACTACTAAAAATAGAGCAACCATAGACCCAGAGATTCCACACCTGGGATCTACCCAAAGGACACAAAAACATTAATTCAAAAAGAAACTTGCTTGTATATATTTATTGCAGCACTATTTATAATAACTAAGACATGGAAACAACCTAGGTGACCAAATATATATGACTGGATCAAGAAAGTGTGATATAGAGCGTCCCCAGTGGCACACAAGTTGAGCTCAGCATTGTGAAGCTGTTCGCAGCCTCTGTTGTGCCAGTTTGATTCCTGGCCAGCCAGGGTGCAGGGCTACCCACACGGTGCAGCAGACCTCTCCTGTCTCACTCACTGCTCCCCTCAGCAGTGTTTTCAGTCCATCTGCCTGTTCTGCTCCCCGCTCTGTCCCTGGTGAATTCTCTCACCCTCCCACACCTGTGGCCTGTACCCCAGTTCTTATATAAATAAATCTTTAAAAAGAAAAAGGAAATGTGATGTGTATACACAAAGGAATACTATTTACCAATCAAAAAGGTAAGCTCAAGCCATTCACAGCAACATGAATGGAACAAGAAGGGATTATGCTCAGTGAAGTAAGTCAGGAGGAAAAAGAAAAGTATCGGATGGTTTCACATATAGGAGGAATATAAGGAAGCCGAACAAATGGTCAAAAAAAAGACAAAACTTGCAAGCAAACTATAGATCTGAAGCACACAGCAGGGGAAAAGGAAGAAGATGGATCAAAATAGGGGAGGGAAGAGCACAAAGGACTAGGATGGTGTCTCAAGGGTGATGAGGTAATAGGAACTTTATGGGGACTACACATGAGCTGAGAAATCAAATATTGTAGAAAAATAAACAACAATGTAAGAAAATTTAAAAGTTATAAAAAAAAAAAAATGCCCTCGCCATTTAAAGGATGTTGTGCACAGAAAGGATATGGAGTATAGTCAACATAGGAAAGAAACAAGACAAAGATGAGTTCCACACCATCAGATAGTACAATCTCTGATAAGATTCATGAGTTCTGAGGTTTCTTCATATCCACCCCAGGAAAAGCCCTACTGACTTTCAGCGTCTAGTGTTTCTACAGAAAGTTTGAGGGTTGGACAGCTTCAGCTGGAGAGCAGAGCCGACGCCGCTCCATCCCTCCTGTTTCTGAGTCCATTTTCTGCTCCTCAGTTACCATGAAGTCATTGCTTCTTCATTCACAAAATAACATGAGATAAGGGGCCCTGCTCACATCTGAGCACTGATGCAAAATGAGCGGCATTTAGGCAGCAGAGAGGAAAACACACTTGGAATGAGAAAATTTAACACAGAGACCTCTGCGCTAGCTGCCACCTCCAGGCTGAGTTCAAGCCTGGAATGATAAATTGAAAGCAGTATTGTGTGTCGTCCCCTGCTCTGAAGTGAGGAAGATGGGCTGGCCTTGATCGGCAGAGGAAGCTATGAACCAGCCAGGGAAAGCCACGGATTCGAAGGTGGAGGTTCTGCCAGTCTTTCTGTGGTAGAAGAGGAAGGGTTTCACAGGCCCCGGTTGGTTGTACAGATCTAGAATCTTCTCTGCCTGCAATGGAGGGACAATGCCCACAGGGGAAGCAGAGGCTGTTTGAGTAATTCGAGGTGACTTGTACACAAACAATACACATCCCAAATTTCAAAAAGGCCTTATCCACCTATGAGAGCAGGTCTAGAGAAACACATTTCAAAGGAGCAGCAGAGAGGACTCTCCTGCCCAGCCTCCACCCTTAAATCCAGAGATGGGTTAGAAACAATCACAGGGTACTGAACAAGTCAGTAGATTGGGACTTTCTCACAAAAGAGACTGACGGGATCCTCCAGCAAAGGAAGGAGTTGCCAGTTTGCAGCAGGGAGCCAAGGTCCTCCCTTAGGGAGGCTACAGGGGCCAGAGGTACTGCCCACTAGACTCAAAGTGTCCTGAGGGCAAAACCTTGCCATCTGTGCCCTGATGCTTCTCAAATGTCCAAACAGTGCTGGAGGTGAGGAGAAACCACGCATTTCCTGAATGGAATGGTTTGAGGTAGAATTACACTGAATTGAGTTAAACTGAAGTTTTTGGAAACAAAGTTTAAGGAATAAGTTCTTTTTATATAGCTTAGTCATAAAGAGAAAATAAGAACCACTCAGAGAGCTTGAGAATCGATATAGTAAAGATGGAAATTTCAGAAAACACAAGAAAAGGATGATTTAGCAGACAGGACAAGACTGAAAATGGAGTCATAGTCTGGGAAATTGATTCAGGAAATTCTGATTCAGGAAATTCTCCCAGACCCAACATGAAGAGAAAAAAAGTAAGGAAAGGAGAGCAAGTGTGGAAAATTAGATATTACAGTGGACTCTACAAGATCCAGTGACCAACGATTAAGAGTTGCAAACAGGAAGATAAAACAGAAGCAAATACATTTGAAGAAACAACACCTAAGAATATCTCACAACTCAAGAAAGACAAGGGTCCTCACCTAGTGAGGGAAAGGATAAATCAAAGAAATGTCAGCTGCAGGCATACAACTCAAAGGAGCTAGGAATGTGTATGCTTAAGAATTGAATTCTAAGATTAGATTTTCTACAAAATAAACTTCTTCTACAATACATAGGCTTTTAAAACAGTAACTTTTTTACAGTATTTTCATTATCACATTTGTAGTTGCTCACCTTGAGTTTTAGTGTGGGCTGCCCTTCGATGTCCTCACAAGAGAGACACATTTCTGGTTGCTGTATTCCCAAGTAAATGGGAATCCCTTTGTCTTGCTCAAGAGACTCAGGAAACTTGCATGGGAGGACAGTGACAGTTACTATGGAGATAAGAGAGCAGATGGTATAAGTTCCCTTTGAAGTCAAGAAAAGGCCATTCTCTTCCAAGTAGGGTCGCCCCACATCCACCAGATGGCCAAATGCCTCATTCATTCATTCATTCATTGACACCATGGGATAATCCCTGGCTTACAATATGGAACAAACACAAAAAGTTAAACAGTCCATTCTGGCCTTGAGATTTTCACACCTCTGCTTAAACACCAACAGGTAGGAATCCCTATGCCAAGCAGCCCTTCGACCCTTGAACAGGTCTGTAAATTAATAAATTTTGCTTGATATGATGATGTAAGCTGCCTTCCTGGGGTATCAACCCATTTAGTCTGTAGAGCACCAGGGAGCCAGACAGAACAAGCTATTGCTCTTCCAGGTTAGACCCCCAGATCAGGAAGCATTTTCCCTGTTCCCCACGATGCTGCTCCAACTCTCTGCTTTCCTTACCCTGGCCCAAGACAAACTTTTCCATGTTGTCCCATGAAATTCTTCTCCCTCCCAAAACCCACTGTGAAGTCAGTACCCCAGCCCACTAACTCAAGGGGACCCTCACCTGAAGCCACGTCAGCTTTCCGTGGAACTGCCACAAGAATGTCACCTTGAAGGATCCACACTTGCTGACTCATGTCAGAGACATGCCCCCTTTCAGGCACATTCGCTGTTGTTCAAATGAGAAAGAATAATGTATAAGCATTATGATTAAGGCAGCTTTAGGGGTTCTAGAGAAAGGTCATCTAATCTAGTCCCCTTGGAAAGGAAGGAATATGGTCTACACACCAAAATGTGCAGTGCTCACAAGACACCCCCTTCTTTCCAACAATGCTGTGGACTCCTTGAGGAGGGCAAGGGCTGTTCCTGGGCTAAAAGGGTAAAGTGTCAGCCCTGTGGTGTCCATGTGCCAAGGCCCAGAGACTCTTCTTGACACCTGCTCTGTTCTTGACCCAAAGCTGGGTCTGAACCAGAGAAGTGAACAACTAATGCTCCTCACCTTCCAGAAGCTCATGGACCAGTGGGAGATATTAGCATGGGAAGGACATACACAAGCATGGACAGAGGGACAGAGAACAATAGGATGATCAGAAAGGACACCTGCGAGAGAGTGCCCAGTTCCATCATCTAACTGTGGCCTTTGTGCCATAGTGGGGTTGTCTCAGCACCTGTAGGAACAAAGATAGGAGATTTAGCCTCAGGAGCCATTTCCAAGACCTTTGTAGAACTCTGGTTCCTAAGGTCTTCATTCTGGACAGGAAGCTGGGAAGCTTAACTTGACATGAGGCCTTTGTCATAAAATCTGAGCTGCCTCCTGAAATAAAACCTCACAGCACTCGTGGGAGACATCAGGCAGTAACAGTAGCTCGCTGGCATTCCATGGTCAGGTATAACTGTTCACCTTAAACTCCCCCCAGACTCCTCATACCTGTGCCCCCTCATCTCGGCCAAGACCGAGGAAGGCCAAGACCCTCCTCCCATCAGAATCTGCTTCTGCCTGGGGTCAGGGCACCTCTGATAGCACACCAGCAGCTCCCCAGTGAGAAGCACCTCCATAGGACAAGACATGGAGGCAGCTGGCTCAGCCCCTTACCTCCACCAGTCCTAGCCCACAGAAAAGAGGGAAGTTCAGAGTCAGAGGACGACCAGCTATTGGCTGGCAAGCAGTGGCCTTTACTGAGAGTCTAGGGAACACAGATGCAGCTCCAGCAGCTCCAAGAGCAGTGACAGCCTCTGCCAAGGTGGGTCATTTATCTGGTGACCATTAGGAGACTCAGCTTCCTGGATGGGGCGTGGCCGCCGTGTAATGTGCAAGAAGCCAGTTTCTCCTCCCAGAAGATCCCTTGAGGCACCAGATGAAGAAATCATCACATCAGCACACGTGTGACCTACCTGAGCTCCCCTGTAATTAAGCCTTGAACCCAACCCCATGAGGAATTGAATGACGGACACTGGGCTTCTCAGAAAGGGGAGGCTGAGGGACTTCCCAGAGCTCAGTTCTCCTGCCATCTCTCTCTGGGACTAGGACTGGAAAAACCATACTCTTTATGAAAGGAGGCCAGGTGTTGGGGCTGGAAAGCTTGTCCTCTGTATTCATCCTAAGGGAGTCCTGTGATTGCAAAGTTAGCTGTGTGCTTCAGGCAAGATTCACATGCATTTCTGGACACCAGTCACTCCACCTTGACCATTTCTGAAAGAAGGGTTAGGCTGAAAGCTCCCATCTCTAAACTCTTTCAGCCCCTCAGTTATGCATCCCCATCTCCCTGGGGCTCCCTAGGGAGCCACAAGCACCAAGCAGTGCACCCTAACTGAGGCAAGCCTGGTCCCTTGTATTCCCAAAATGCAGTGGACTCCAGAACTAAAGGTAAAATATGTGGGCAATGACTACTCCAAAAACTGGGTCCTAGATCATTACTTACCCCCCCCCACTTTTATACCCTCGTAATACAGACATTTATAAGCTCTCGACAAATGGTAGTGATTATTTTGTATCATGTTTGTTATGCATGCATACCCTATCCCATCTGCTGAGGTCAAACATTAAATTTTCTAAGGTACAAGTCAATTTCTCTATAGTGAATTTCAGGAGACACACTAGAAGCACCTACAGCTTCATATTCACCTCTTTAATTGGGAGGAGGAAGTCTGAGGAATAAAACAATCTTCAAGGCAAGCACTTCCATGAGACCCTCTTCCCATTCCTGAAAAATGTCTCCATGCTCAACCCCCATGCTTTCCACCACATCATTTTTGGTCTTGGAGGAACATGGTCCTTTGTTGTTGAAACCTAATACCACTGCTCTGAGCGTCCAGGTTATCTGTTGCACCAGGAGGCATTGTGTTTTGAGTGGAATTCAAGTACTGACAAATCCAAGCATTCTAGACATGGAAATGATGTTAGCAGATCACTCAATCCAGACTTCAGTTTTCAGACTCTAAGATATTATCATCAAGTGATCACCAGTTGATAAAGTGATGTAGAGTTTTCATGGCATCGGTGATAATGAACTTACTCAACTCTCCTGTCACTGCGAGGTCACCTCCTACAGATTTAGGTTATAAATTCAATGGCCAAATCTCACAATCCCAACTGCCAAAACCCAAAGGTGAGGAACTTTTAGGATTTAGAAATTTTGAGATTTTGACCTTCAGGTTTGTGACTTTGGGGATTAAGCCCCAAAACTGAGCTTGGACTTGCCCAAATCCCTGTGCCTCCAAGCCTATTTGTCTAGACTTGCTTCTTTGAGGGATGACCCTAACCTCTTCCTAGCTGGTTTCTTCATGAAACTTCAGACATTTGGATGTCAGTCAACATGCTATGTTACAGCTTCCTCTTCCTCATGTGAAAACAAAAGAAAAATTAACAAAAATAAGCCCTGTACTACTCACCAAAATGGCAGAGATAAATAGAAGCACTAAATGCATTAAGACAATAGAACCCAAATAACAGAACCATCATAAAGGTGTATTCCCCAAAATTCAAAAGAGCTTTTGACAAAATTATACATTTATGAACAACCAAAAACAAACAAATAAATAAATAAAGCTGTAATCGGACAGATCACACTACAGTAGTGAAGGAAGGATTCTGGGTTAAATGCTTGAAATCTGAAATTCCTGGACAAAGTGCCAAATGACAGAAGACTTCCAGCCTTTGTCTGATGATCAGCATCACAGAAAATGCAACACCCATGAAAGAAAAGTTGAGCATTATCCAAATTTTAGAATTTTGGACAAAACAATCCATTGTAGAAATTGAAAAGACAAAGTACTTCAGAGAACATATTTGCATCTATCTAATAAACAAGTAATTAATATCCAAAGCTTTTAAATAGTTCCTACTAATAAATGGGGAAATCGAAAATCCTTTGAGAAAAAATGCACAAAAGTTATTAAAAAATTTCACTGAAAAGAAAATATGTATGTCCAATAAACAGGAGCAATTATAGGTAACCATACCAATTACTACAAATGCAAATCAAAGCAATAAAAAGACTCCGTTTGGGCCTCCCCGGTGGCACAGTGGTTGAGCGCTGGGTTGTGAAGCTGCCCGCAGCCTCTGCAGCGCAGGTTCGATCCCCGGCCACTCCCTGGCCACCAGAGGAGGAACCCACATGGCGCGCAGACCTCTCCTGCCGCCCGCTGCTCCCCTCAGCAGTGTACTTCGGTCCTTCTGCCTGTTCTGCTCCCCGCTCTGGCTCTGGTGAATTCTCTCACCCTCTTACATTTCTGACCATACCCAGTGCTTGTATAAATAAATAAATAAATAAATCTTAAAAAAAAAAAAAAAAAAAAAGACTCGGTTTCCACCCATCAAGAAAGCACAATTTTAAAAGGTGGTAGGCAATGATGTGAGGAAATAATTTACTCATTCATTGTATGAATGGTTGTATGAATCAGCACAGCTGTCTGGGGAAACAATTTTTCAAGTATCTGTTCAAAGTTTAAATGTGTCTACTCTCTGACCCATCAATTCTACTTACAAGGATTTCTCAGTCAAGTATTTTCATCTTTAAAGTTGGATAAATCTGGGCCTCCCTGGTGGCACAGTGGGTTGAGCACAGCTCTGTGCTCTGTGCAACCTCTGCAGTGTGGGTTCGATTTCCAGCCGGCCAGGGAGATACCCACAAGGCACAGCAGACCTTTCCTGTCTCGCCCACTGCTCCACTCAGCAGTGTATTTCAGTCAGTCTGCCTGTTCTGTTCCCCACTCTGTCTCTGGTGAATCCTCTCACCCCCTATACCTCTGGCCTGTTCCCCAGTTCTTGTATGCATAAATAAATAAATCTTTAAAAAAAATTAAGTTTGAAAAATCCAATTGAAAGTGATTAAAACAATAAATATATATTATTTAAGAAGTACATAATTAAGTACATAGAAAGTACTAAAACAAACCTAGATGATATTGTTTTCTACACAAATAGTCTAAATGGGGGAGAAATAATTGCTCATCTTTATAGAAAAATGTGAATAAATATGTGTAGAAGAAATGAGGGAATATGAATTTGCTATTGAACAAATACCATGGTAATAATCATTGCAGGATACCCTAATAAATGCTAAAATTGGTGGGCAAAGGTTTGGGGAAACACAGGAGATTAACAAAGTTTCAAAGTATCTCTCTCACAATATTTATCAATTACAAAAGGGAATATAATAACTTGACAGTAAAGAAATTCAACAGACACTACCTTCAACAAGTGATCAAGGCTACGTCACCATAATGGGACACATCATCATATATTCCCAATAAAATGCATTGATAAAAACAAATTATTTCTGTAGCATTCATGCCTTAATGCAGTTAAGCTAAGGTATGAGAACTAAGTGCCCAATGACGAGATAAAGAAGACATGGTAGAGGGCCTCCCTGGTGGCGCAGCTGTTGAGCGCTGGGTTGCGAAGCTGCCAGGGGCCTCTGCGGCGCCGGTTCGATCCCCAGCCGCTCCCTGGCCACCAGAGGCGGGTCCCACATGGCACGCAGACCTCTCCTGCCGCCTGCTGCTCCCCTCAGCAGTGTACTTTGGTCCTTCTGCCTGCTCTGATCCCCGCTTTGGCTCTGGTGAATTCTCTCACCCTCCCACGCTTCTGACTGTACCCAGTGCTTGTATAAACAAAAACAAACAAGCAAACAAATAATACATGCCTCTTTAAAAAAAAAAAGAAGAAGAAGAAGACATGGTAGATATACGTGGCAGAATACTATCCTGTCATTTGGGACATGGGCGGAATCAGAGGAGATTATATTAAGTGATATATGCCAGAGGGAGAAAGACCAAAAAATGGTCTTTAAATATTTCCTACTAATAAATGGGGAAAATGCAAATCCTTTGGGAAAAAATGCACAAAAGATATAAAAAACTTTCACTGAGAAGAAAATATGTATGTCCAATAAATAGGAGCAATTATAGGTAACCATACTAATTACTACAAAATGCAAATCAAAGCAATAAAAAGACTCGGTTTGGGCCAAGTCCATATTTCCTATAGGGAATATAGAGAAACAAAATACAGGA